GCTATACATTCGGTCTTACTGTCCAGTGGGGCAACCCTTACAATACCCTAACCTAAATTCCTGGAAATAAACTCCTCCAGGGCCCTGGGCACACAATTTAAATTGGTGAAATCCACAGAGTAAGGAGGATTTTCTTGGCCATTTCCTTCTGCCTCCCTTCCCACCCCAGTGGAGGGACCCCTCCTTAGAGACTGTCTAGAGTGTGCAGAGTCTACCTGGCTGAGGGGCTGTGGCTCACACCTGGACCCCCAGCCAAGGCAGGTGGCTTCTTCTGAATAATCTGAGTCTTGATTGGCTCCAATATAGAAAGTCTTTCCAGGAACCAGTTCTGGGGCACGAGGAGTCTGGCTCCTGGCCAAAAATCCTATGCGTGATCTATCAGGCCCAGCCACAGGCGATCATAAGGTCTTCATCCAGCGGACGGCCACAGCCCCACCACACACCAGGCTTGGGACGCAGCCAGGGCACTGTTGTCCTGGGGGAAACGTAGCAGGGACCCAGGCCTGCCTGCCATGCTCGGATGTACATCTGCATCTGTAGCCCTGGTGCCTCCATCAGAGGCCTCCTTGTGGGGCGCCTTGAAGTTACTCTCCCCTGTCCGCACCCCGCTCTGACTCAGTACCCGGTATTTTTCTACACCCAGCCCTCCTTCCTCCTTCCTGGGCCCCAGGGCTCATCAACCCATGGCGGGCTTTCATCCTGGGCTCCTGGGCATGACCCCCACCACGTGTCCTTCCATGGGGGGTGGGGGGTCAGGACTTCCTGTGCTTTTAGCTTCTTGAAGTAAGCGACTAAAGTTTTCACTGTTTCTTCCAGTTTGGCTTGCTGCTGTAATGGGCTCCCCCAATATCCGGCTGCTCATCTGGGTCCCTGAGGGGGGAGGTCACTGCCATCCCATCTTACAGATGAGCAAACTGAGGTTCTGAGTGGCACAGTGAGTCAGTTATGGGCCAGACCTTAAGACCTTGAGGCTAGTTCAGGACCTTCTGTGCAGCCAGTTTTGAGTTAATGTATTTGTGGCTACCATTGCATCTTCTCTGCTAAACTCTAAGTACTTTGAGAACAAAAACGATTTCTGAAGCTGCCCTTTCAAGAAGCCTTTGTAGAACAAACAGAGACCACCTAGATGAGAAGAAGCAAGCTGGCTGTAGCAGGGGGTCCCCCACAGCACTGGATTTGGCAGAGACTCCAAGCAGGGGAGGGGGAGAACCTACAGTGGAAAAAGAGAGACTCAGTCCTTGGCCAGGTCCCGGCTGGTGTGGGGGCCACGTGTCAGGGTTCGGCTACTGTGCGCAGGTGGCTCGGTCACGGTCTGCTTGTGTAGACAGCCTCTCAGCGTGAATATAGCAGCTGCGGTGAACGTGTGTCTAACGGATTAGAATTAATTTGCAGAGTTTCATCGCCGTGTGTGTCTGAACCTCCAGCGGGGGCTCTAACTTTGTGGACTCGGTCACCCCGCATCCCTGCATCCAGCAGGATGGTTTCCGGGGAGGTACAAAACCTTGGAAACCCTCCAACTGTGTGTGCAGACTGCAGACAAGGTGTGGGTGGGGAGCCGGATACCATAGACTGAGCATCTGTCAGAGCAAAGCCTGCTCATCTGCATGGGCTGGAGGGGCAGGGGTGGGGAGAGGGGAAGAGGCTGCTCAGCCAAACAATGGAGGGAGAGGCTCTCCCTGGGATTAGCCGCATTCGGGGTTCCCCTTGCTGCTCACGCACCCTGATTGCCTGTGCCCGGGGCTTAGCCAGGCTGAGGCATGTTCTCGGCTCTGGCAGCCTGCCTGGCAGTGGACCCGTGGGTCCTGAATGAGGGGACAGGCCCTGGGGGGCGTCCGCTTAAACCGCCAGGCCAGGCCCAGCATCTCACAGTGGGCTGAGGGTGGATTTAGGGCACGGTGGCTACTGGAGCCTCACACCCTCCAGGGACCCCGACCAGACCCAACCGCCCAGGACCCGGACTCCGAGCCTGGTGCCCACCAGCCCGAGGCTCGCCAGGGTCAGGTCCCGGAGCACAGGCTCGCCCCAGCCCGCGGTGCCAGCGAGCTCCCTCTAGGCGGTGTGGGACCTCAGCACGACCTACACAGCTGCCTCGGGGGTGACCCCTCGGTGTTCGGAGACCTGGAGGATGCAGCCATCGTCCCGCGAATGACCCGCTGTCGCTCCACGGAGCTGCTGTGCTCCAGCGTCCAGCGTCCCTCCGTCTGTCTGTCCCTCCGGGCGCCCCTCACCTCGCTCTCTGCTTGCAGTTGCAACACGTGAATAGGAATGACTGCGAATCTGTCCGCCCGTCCTCACAGTGTGCCCCAGAGGTCATCAGGCAGTGTCCTCCCAACGGTTCAGCCCCCACTCCCGCCCCACCGTCCCCTTGCCACCTGACGGCCACCAGCAGTGCGCTCGGGATGGCCATTCATCCACACCCCTGTCAAGTCCCCTCCGGAAGGACCTCAATGTCCCCTGCTGCGTCCAGGCTGGTGACCCGCTCCATACCTGCAGTTGGTCACAGGGGATGGGCAGGTGTAACCTCAGTCACCCTCCTTGCGCGCAGTGGGCAAGGCTGGGCCATGTCCAGTGCGCTTCCTGCCCCGGGGCTCCTGCCCTATGAGGCCCTGGGCGAACAGCCTGCAGGCTTCCCGTGGGGGGTTATTAGGTGGTAGTAGGAGCGTCTGCACTCACCGTGGATCGTTCTGTCTCCAGCCCCTTCCCCCTCCTCAGTGTCCTGATGTAGCCCCTTGTGCCGCAGCCCCTGGGCCCCTCGGGACGGGGCTCCCACCAACTCTGACCGCTCCCCCGCAGCTCACGTTAGGGGGTCCCGTCATTTCTCTGCCCTTGGGTGCCTGCCTCTGGCACTTTTTCTAAATTCCCTGGATTTATGGAGGAAACTGTGCTCTACCTTCCACTGCGGGGCCCACTCGCCCTCGTCCCAGGCTGCGTTCCCGCCGTGTTCACCCCTGCAGGGAGTGGCCACTAGAGGGGCAGGGGCTCCGGGCTCAGCCCGCCCTGTCCTGGGAGAGGCATGGGGTGTGTGCAGCGGGGTCCGTCCGCTGAGCCGCAGAGCCCGTGGGCCTCAGGGCCCCTCTGCCACATGGGTGGCCACCGCCATTCTCACGGCGCTGCCATCTGACTGTGCTTCCTGCAAAAACAGGGTTGGGGCCCTCGTGTCACCTCCCTGTGCCCCCACAGGCTGGAAGTGACCCAGGACCCCCACACCCACTTGGGCCTCAGCCGTGGGTGCTTCGAGGAAGAGCAAGGGCTCGACCCCTAAGTAGGGGTGTCTCTGAGGTTTCTGGGCCCTTCTGTGGGCTGCCTGGGAGCTGTAGGCCTGCGTCTGCCCCAGCCCGGGGCTGATCCCACATGACCCCGCGGGTGGCTGCGTGACACAGGCCCCCGAGAGGAGCGATGCTCCCCGGCCTCGCTGAGGAGGAGCCCTTGGCTCTGCCACGAGTTGTCCTTGCCCAGGTTCAGAGGGCGGGGGCTGGGCACCCTTTCTGCCCCCTGCTGAGGGCCTTGGAGGCCTTCCTGGGGTCGAGGACTCAGCCGCACCCTCAAAGCCACACGAGCCGGGGCCACGTGGGGGTGCCTGGAAGCTGGAGGACACCCCCAAACACTGGCCATCTGTCATTGCCAGCAGGCCCGGGGGTCAGAGCCACACAGACAGGAAGAGTGCCAGTCCGCCCAGCGCCCGTGGGGACAGAGCTCGCCGGCTCCCTAACGGCCGGGGATGGGTTACGGTTCCCTGGATTCTGTTGGTGACGGTGACCCCGCTGGGAAGAGCCACTTCCCTTGGACCAGGCAGTGACCGGCCGAATTTCCTTCGGCGTCAAGCCCACGGGTAACCCGGATGGTGCTGCGCGCTCATGGGAGCCGGGGTCCGGATGCCTGGGTCCAGACGGCTCCAGACGGCTCTCGCCACGGGGCTGGTCCCAGTCCTCGGCCTGCAGCCCGGCCCTGGAGGCTCCTTGCTTCAGTCTGGGAGACATTTACTTAGCAGCTACTGCCCGCCGGGCGCTGGCCGCGCACTTCTGGAACGTGGAGTCGCCAGGTGCGCGATGTGCACAGGCCCCACTGTTGGGAGCGCTGTGCCCCACGCCCACGCGAGCGGGAACGTGCAGGGTGCCTCGCCGGGCTGTCACTGCCCAGAAAGCCCCTGAAGGCCCTGGTCACAGGGCCTGTTGTCCTGGCGAGGCTGCTCCCTCCTGGGAGTGTCCCTGCATCGAGGGTCAGTGGCTCTGGGAGGGGGGTCCATGATCCACCACGGTGGGCTCAGGTCAGCTCCACCGTCATCATCGCCGCAGACCTGCTGACCGCGGGCCGTGGGCCCAGCACCCCCATGTGAGGCCCAGGCCCTCAGCAGGTCCCCTGGGCCCAGGGGCAGCTCCAGAAGCGGCTTCATTCCGGCTCCGTACCTAGCCAGGCACGCGGTGGCTGAGTCGGGGTCGGGGTCGGGCAGGGTCCAGGTGGGGGTCCAGGCGGTGGCCGTGGCTCTGCTCCAGGGCAGCCCCTCCCTTCCCTTCCGGAGGCTGGGCCCCTCTGGCCCCGGGCACTGCGTGGGCTCCCCACTTCCCTTCCCATCGTGGGCCTCGGGCGGAGGCCGGCCCGCCCATCAGCCACGCTCCGACGACCTTGAAGAGCAGGCAGAGGTTCTCCCGCACCGTATCTGCCTCCCTACGGTGGGCGCGAGGAGCAGTGCCCAGTCCCGGGTGGCCTGCAGGGCACACCGGAGGCTGCACGCTTCCACGGCACACGGGGACATGGGTCACGGAGCCCCGCGGTGAGCACGGGGCATGCCCTCCCCAGGCTGTCCTCCCTCTGTCCCCTCGCATGCCCAGCATGGCGTGAGGCCATCGGCCGGGAGGCAGCGAGCCCCAGAAAGTGCAAGTGTAGCTCCTTCTGGGAAACCCGGGGTGGGGGGTCCCTGCAGACCCAGGGGCGCCGACCCTCACCGGCAAAGGGGACGCTCGCGGGCGGGCGTGTCTAACCCACCTGTGGTTTCCCCGACACAGACCTGCGCCCCCTGGACATCCTGGCAGAGGCCGTCCCTCCGAATGGCGCCGCGGGCGGAATCAGGGTGACCCAGGCCCACGGCGTGCGAGGACTCCAGCTCTCGGCCGCCGCCCCCCACGCCTTCAGCTTCCCTGCCTCGAGGATTTTCTTCCGGTGCGACCTCTTCCCTGAAGAGTTTTCGATCGTCATAACCTTGAAAGTTCCCAGTCTTCCCCCCAAGGTCAGTGACGCTCTTTGCTCTTTATCACCCCCCCCCCACCGCGGCCAGGCCTCTCCCGCGGGCTCTGGGGCATCTTCGGGGTCAAGCGGCCGTCCCCATAGGTAGTGAGGTCCCCATCACAGCGCGCGTGCAGGCGGAGCCCGTGGCACCATCGCGAGGTGGGCTCACCGGTCCAAGGCTCGGGGACAATGCTTGGACTTCTCAGTTTGACATCTGTCCTCGGGAAATGGAGAGCGTGCCCTTCGGGGCCCGATGACCCGTGGCTTGCGGCCCCTTCAGCCCAGATGCAGCCAGCATTCCCGCCCCCCTCGGCCCGCCGCCCCCAAAGCTGAGGACCCTCGGTGCCCAGTGCTGCTCCCCCACGGGGCCCTGGACCGTGCTGCGCGTAGGCCTGGGGGACCCGCTCGGAATCTCAGATAAGGACGGAAAGGCCGTCCCCACTGGCCGCGATCCTCCCCGTGGGCTTGCTCCACGGCCCGGGGACGTCTGCTCACGAAAGCCCTCTCTTCGTGCCTTCGACTCGGCTGCGTTTTCTTTCCCAAGTCTTTGCGTTTTCCCTGTTTCATAATTTCCATTTTCTTCTATTTTATATAAATTCCACTTCTCAGCTTAAAGCCTCCATCTTCTCAGCTACTGTCCTGAGCACGGCTCCAAATATTTGGACGCAAGGACTCCATTCCGCGGACGATTCCCACTCGTGTACCGCCATTAAAGAGTGCTTTTTTTTTTTTAAGTTTTAATTTAAATTCCAAGTAGTTGGGCAGCCCCGGTGGTGCAGTGGAGACCCTGGATTGAGTCCCACGTCGGGCTCCCTGCATGGAGCCTGCTTCTCCCTCTGCCTGTGTCTCTCTGCCTCTCTCTCTCTCTCTCTCTCTGTCTCTATGAATAAATAAATAAAATCTTTAAAAAAAATAAATTCCAGGTAGTTGCCTTACAGGGTAATATTAGTTTCAGGCGTGCAATGGATGATTCAACATTTGCAACAGAACCCAGTGCCCTTCAGGACAGGTGCACGCCCGACTCCCCATCTCCTCCCCCGCCTCCCCTCTGGTGACCGGCAGCATGTTCTCTGGGGTTGCATCTGTTTCTTGGTTTGTCTCTCTCTCCCTTTTCCCCCTTTGCTCCTTTCTTCTGTTTCTTAAATACCCCGTGTGAGGGAGGCCGTGCGATCATGTTTCTCCCCGGCCGACTCGCCGCCCTCGGCATCACGCCCTCGGCTCCCCCCACGTTGGTGTAAATGGCGAGATCCCCCCCCTCTGACGGCCGAGTGACACCCGTGGTGCGCAGGGACCACATCTCCTTCCTCCAGCATCTGTCCCTGGACGTTGAGGCTCCTCCCGCAGTGCGGCCCCCGTGGACATGGCCGCTGGGAACGTGGGGGTGCAGGTGCCCCTGCAGCTCACCGCCTCTGGGCTGCAGGGTCGGTACCCAGCAGTGCAATTGCTGGGTCAGAGGGCAGCTCTGTGTCCGGCTCCCAGAGGCCACCCCCCCACCCCGTCCCCACGGTGGCCGCCCTGCCTGCGTTCCCACCAGCTGCAGAGAGGCTCCCCTTTCTCCACATCCTCCCTGCACCTGTCGCCTCCCGACCGTGGCCGTCCTGACAGGCGTGCGGGATGGGGTGGAGGGTCCCACGTGGTGTTGGTGTGTGTCTCCAGGACAGGGAGGGATGTGGAGCATCTTCCCGCGTGTCTGGGGCCCCGTGTGGGTCTCCACTGGAGACGTGTCTGCTCACGTCTTCCGCCCATTTTTTAATTGGATTTTTTACATTTTGGGGTTGTTGAGTTTGATAAGTTCTTCATGGATCTTGGACACCAGCCCTTTACCCGATCTGTCTTTACAAATGTCTTCTCCCATCCTGTAGGTTGTCCTTTAGTTTTGTTGGTTGTTTCCTTTGCTGTGAGGAAGCGTTTCATCTTGACGAAGTCCCAATAGCTTCCCTTGCCTCCGGAGACATATCTAGAAACATGTTATGGCAGATGTCAGAGAAATTACTCCCTGTGCTCTCTTCCAGGATTTTTATGGTTTCAGGTGTCACATTTAGGTATTTAACCCCTTTTGAATGTATTTGTGTCTGGTATAAGGGAACGGTCCAGTTCCACTCCTCTGCTGTCCGGTTTCCCCAGCACCATTTGTTGAAGACACTGTCTTCAACTGGATATTCTTTCAACTGGATATTCTTTCCTGCTTTGTCAAAAATGAGCTGACCATAGAGTTGAGGGTCCATGTTTAGGTTCTCTCTTCTGTTCCATTGATCTGTGAGTCGGCTGTTGAGCCAGCACCAAGCTGTCTTGATGATCACAGCCTTGTAGTGCAGCTGGAAGTCTGGAGTTGTGATGCTTCCGGCATCGGTTTTCTTTCTTAGGGCTGCTTTGGCTATTTGGGGTCTTTTGTGGTTCCACACAAATGTTAGGATTGCTTGTTCCAGCTCTGTGAAAAATGCTGCTGGTATTCTGATAGGCATTGCCCTGAATGTGTAGATCGCTCTGGGTAGCATGGACATGTTAACAATATTTGATCTTCCAATCCATGAGCATGGTATGCCTTTCCATTTCTTTGTGCCATCTTCAGTTTCTTTCATAAGTGTTCTGTAGTTTTCAGATCTTTTACGTCTTTGGTTAGGCTTATTCCTGGGTAGCTTATTGATTTTGATGCAATTATAAATGGGGTTGATTCCTTAACTTCTGTTTCTGCTGCTTCATTACTGATGCACAGAAATGGAACAGATTTCTCTACCTTGACTTTGTGTCCTGAGAGTTTCCCAAATTCCCGAATCAGTTCCAGCAGCTTTTTGGTGGAGACTTTCGGGTTTTCTGTATAGAGTGTCATGTCGTCTGCAAGTAGTGAAAGTTTGACTTCTTCCTTGCCGATGTGGAGGCCTTTTATTTCTTTTTGTTGTCTGACTGTGGAGACTAGGACTTCCAGTTCTAGGTCGAACAACAGTGGTGAGAGTGGACGTGCCTGTCCTCCCCCTGACCTCAGGGGACAGGCTCTCAGTTCTTCCCCCATTGAGGATGGTGTTCACTGTGGACTTTCTCATATGGCCTTTATTAGGTTGAGGTGGGTTTCCTCTGAACCTACCTTGTTGAGGGTTTTTATCATGAATGGATACTGTACTTTGTCAAATGCCTTTTCTGTGTCTATTGAAATGATCACATGGTTCTTCTCTTTTGTCTTATTGATGTGATGTATCACATGGATTGATTTGTGAATATCGAACCACCCCTCAGTCCAGGAATAAATCCCACTTGATTGTGGCGAATGACTTTTTAAATATCTTGTGGATTTGATTTGCTAGTGTCTTGTTGAGGATTTTTGCATCCATGTTCATCAGGGTTAATGGCCTGTAGTTCTCTTTTTTAGTGGTGTCTTTATCTGGTTTTGGTATCAGGGTAATGCTGGCCTCATAGAGTGAATTTGGACGTTTTCCTTCCTTTTCTGTCTTTTGGAATAGTTCAAGAAGAATAGGTATTAACTCTTCTTTAAATGTTTCATAGAGGGATCCCTGGGTGGCACAGCGGTTTAGCGCTTGCCTTTGGCCCAGGGCGTGATCCTGGAGACCCCGGATCGAATCCCACATCAGGCTCCCGGTGCATGGAGCCTGCTTCTCCCTCTGCCTATGTCTCTGCCTCTCTCTGTGTGTGTGTGTGTGTGTGTGACTATCATTAAAAAATTAAAAAAAAAATGTTTCATAGAATTCCCCTGGGAAGCCACTGGCCCAGGACTTTTGTTTGTTGGGAGGTGTTTGGTTATTGATTCATTTTCTTTGCTGGTTATTGATCTGTTCAAATTTTCTAGAAATTTCTTTCTGTTTCAGTGTCGGTAGTTTGTATGTTTCTAGGAATTTATCCATTTCATCTAGGTTGTTAAGTTGTTGGCATTTGGTGTTTCATAATATTCTCTTATGATTATTTTTTGTGGTGTTGGTTGTGATCTTTCCTCTTTCATTCATGATTCATTTATTTTGGTCCTTTCTCTTTTCTTTCTGATAAGACTGGCTAGGGATTTATCAATTTTATTAATTCTTTCAAAGAACCAGCTCTTGGTTTCATTGATCTGTTCTACTGGGTTTTTGTTTGTTTCTGTATTGTTTATTTCTGATCTAATATTTTATTTATTTATTTATTTAAGGGGTGGAGAGAGAGAAAGAATGGCAGGGGGAGGGGTGGAGGAAGAGAGAGAAGCAGACTCCCTGCTGAGTAGGGCGCGTGAAGCTGGACTGGATCCCAGGACCCTGAGATCATGACCTGAGCTGAATGCAGATGCTTCACCAGCTGAGCCACCCAGACACCCCTATTTCTGCTCTAGTCTTTATTATTTCTCTTCTCTTGTTGGATTTAGGCTTTATTTGTTGTTCTTTCTCCAGCTCCTTTAAGGTGTAAGGTTAGGTTCTGTAGTTGAGATTTTCTTCCTTCTTGAGGTAGGCTTGCATTGCTACATACTTCCCTCTTGGGACAGCCGTTGCTGCATCCCAAACGTTCCAAACTGTTGTGTTTTCGTTTTCATTTACTTCCATGTGTTTTAAACTTCCTCCTTAATTCCTGGTTGACCCATTCATTCTCTAGTAGGATGTCCTTTACCCTCCATATATTTGTGGTCTTTCCAAATATTTCCTTGTGGCTGACTTCAAGTCTCACAGCACTGTGGTCTGAGAATGCACATGAAATGATCTCAATCTTTGTGTACGTGTTGAGGGCTGATTTGTGACCCAGTGTGATCTATGCTGGAGACTGTTGCATGTGCCTCGAGAAGGATGTGTATTCTGCTGCTTTAGGATGGAATGTTCCTCATATATCTGTGAAATCCGCCTGGCCCAATGTGTCATCTAAAGCCCTTGTTTCCTTGTTGGTTTTCTGCTTGGATGATCTGTCTATTGCTGTGAGGGGGATGTTCAGTCCCCTACTATTATTGTATTGTTATCCATGAGTTCCTTTATGTTTGTTATTAGCTGTTGTATGTATTTGGCTGCTCGCTCCCAAGTTAGGGACATAAACATTTACAGT